GACTAACATCACCCTTCAAAAAATAAGAGGGTGATGTGGTTAGTAAAATCTAGGACGATATCTCTACATAAACAAGTATGTAGAGAACTATTAGCTTTTATGTAAATGTTTATACAGTGATTGTACGATATAGAGGTGGTTTGTCTAACCCAAGACGTTTCTTCTCTTTGATGGCTGGATCTTGTAACAACAGTACCTTGTCTTTGTCTTGAACCCCAACCATGTGCAGGTGTTCTCCATCTTCTCGTTCTTTCCCTTTAAACAATAGTCTTTGCTCTTTCGTCTCAAAGCCTGTCATTGATGATAATATGCTCTTCAGTTCTCCTGTTAAGAAAATGGAAAATGGAAAGAATGTTAATATGTATAGTGCTTACATGTGACTTTACATATTTTTCAAAAATCATTTTGTATACTGAATAAGTGGTTTTGATATGAGTATTCAAATGGAGATTTAGATATTAGCTAAAAAAGATTATTGTCCCAATCATTTCTTACAAGAAAAGGTCGAAACATGTTTTGTCACTTCATTTTTTTTTTTCAAAGTTAATGTCAGATCAAAAAGGCTATTTACCAAAAGTTGAAGTCGCTCGAACAGAAATATCATGCCATTGTGAAATAGTAGTCACCCGGACAATAATAATCCCTTCTGTAACACTTTCTCCACCTGCAACATCTTTCCTAATTTGCACAAGCATCCCACCAGGTCTCAGTTCCCATTTGACTTCACCCATTGATCCCATCACCGTTGTGTTGCCCCTCTTCTCACCATCACAATTGCCGCCACCGCTGCCGCCACTCACACCACCACTACTGCCGCTGCGCAACCTTGAAAAGCTTCGGTATAGTCTCTTTGATTTCAGTTTCATCATTTGTTTAGGTGTTTTTGTTGTCTTTTGAGAGATTAGTAGGAGGGTTGTGTTTATATAAAACTTTGGGGTTGGGGTTGTGATGTAAAGAGGATAAAAGTGGGGGGGAACCAAACAAGACATATATAATAATTGAGTGGTGTTAGTTTAGTTTCTTTGGGGTGCATTAAACGAATGAAGATTAAATTAAACACGTCATGTATTGAATTTTAAGGGTGCCAATGCACATGGGGGTTGATGACGAATTCTTAAACGCGGCTTTCGCTAAATTGCCGGGACCTGACAAAAAAACTGTCGGCCTTAAAAATGTCTTCTTTAAGAATTAAAACAGATAAATTACATTAAAAATTAGAATATTCATAAAAATAATTACATAATTTTATGAGATATAGAAAAATATCTAACTTCTGAATTTTTGTGACCATTTCAAATTAAAATGAAATATAATGTGTATTTTTTCCGAAGCGGTCATTTTTTTGTTAGAAATCAAAGATTTTGATTCTTGCATGGATGGAACAACTTTTTTGGGGGATGTAGAAGACCATTTGTGCATTGAGGACAGTGGCGGCCCTGGTGGGCTGGGGTCATGCGGGTGTGCGGTCGTACGGGGCTTCCAATCATAAGGCGCCTCGGATTGAGAAATTTCTTTAACTTTATATTACTAAAAAAATAAAAGAAAATAATAATAATATGTTAGTTGAAGTATATTATTAACAATAAAAAATATGTTTATTAAATATGTTATGAATACCGATTAGAATCTGACACTGATATATAAATATGTACACTATGAAACTAAAGCTCCAAAGCCTAACTTAAATTTTGAAAGTGTATTTCGCTATAAGGTCAAATTAAGTATATGAAAAACGTCACGATTTTTGTTTTGAGAGATGCAACAAGAGTGAAAGTATTAGTTCAATTAGATATATTATAGGAAAAATGCCAAAATGTCATCATAATGAAGAGTTCGTTCAGTGGAGCAAAATGCATTTGAAAATAATACTATAAATTTTGATAATGATTAATCTTTGAAAAAGAACATAGAGAAGGTATTATCACTTTTTTGATAGAATTTTGATTTGTGATCAAGGCGTGACCAATTTTTGTCTTTAGCGGTAAGAAATTTCCGTAATAATATTTTACAATAAATGTATGGGAACTTAATTTAATTTTTGCACAGGGCCTCCAAAATCTCAGGTCAGGCCTGATTAAGGAGTCCGGTAACATTGGCCGTATGGATTTAGCCCAAAACCGAAGGTTCGTTTGGGGTATTAAAGGGGACAAGAATTCACTCAAAAAGATGATAAGTTGCAATTTGATGAGTTATGGTGGATGGTTTGTTTCCTAAGTTTGGGGAAATCGGAAGTTGGCCCTAGAAGAATCACACAAGTGAAAATACTTAACTCACCTTGGAAGTACGAAGGCTTATTGAGATTTGAGAAGGAACTTTTAGTCACCGAGAATGAAACCAAAACCAGCCAACTATATCTCTAAGTGTGCTACTTGTGCACAAGTGACATATGAGCACCAAATTCCTTACGGAAAATCCAAATCACTACAATTCGGGTTAAAATTGGGATGAAGTTACAATGGCTTTCAATATAGGAGTAGAACTACCACCAACAAGTAAGGATCATGACGTTATTTGGGTCATTGTTGATGGATTGACCAAGAGTGTCATTTTCTTGGAAATCAAATAATCGACTCTATTTGAAAATTTAGCTAAGTTGTATGCAGATGAAGTAGTGAAGTTTCATGGAGTACCTTTGATAATAATATCTTATAAGGATGCATGGTTTAGTTCTCGGGAATCTCTACAAGATAAATTAGGGACGGGAATCAACTTGAGTACGAATTATTATCCCCAAACGTGTGGTTAACATGATGTAACATCCCATTTAAAATATAATAATAAAATAATAAACCCGGAACCCCGGGAAACAATTATTATTATTATTATTATATATTATTATAGTCCAAAATCAAATAATAATTAGTGGGGTGTTGGTTTCGGGAAGCCAAATGACGAGATTTGAATCTCCGGGGGTTAAAGTGTAAGTTCTGGATTTAATTTGAAAAGGATTTTAGAAGTCATGGTGTGTTTGGTAATTAATAGACTTAAATTGAAAGGATTTGAAGGCTTAGGGGGCTGATTGGTAATTTCGTGACTTGATTTGTAAGGATTTTCAGAAGGAGGGGTTTAAATGGTAAATTAAGGATTTATTTTGAAAGAAATGGGGGAAGGAGGGACTATTTATGTTGTTATGGGATTATGTTTGAGAACCGGGTATATAACCCATGCTATCCCCGTCACCTTGCAACCCTAACCCTAAATCTGATGCAACCGCCACCCCCTAACCTCCGGCCGCCACCACCCTTTTACTCCCGTTTTCCCGATCAGCAAGGCCACTAGTGACATTTTCTACGACCGGAGACATTGAGGGCTGCCGGAAATCAACTTGCGTGTGACGTTGCCGCCGTTGCTCGTTAGGCTGCCCTTCAGCCTCCGTCACCACCATGGAAACCTTCATCCGTCACCCGTTTTGCCAGCGTAGCGACACCACTACCGGGAACGTAACCAACATCCGGGAGATCCGTCGAAGGCTGGAGGCGGAACAAGAATGAAGGTGGGTCGTGGACCACCGGGTTGCTGTTGTCGTGTGCCGAAGTCGTAGAAGACCCGCCGCTGTGCCCTATCGTCGAAGTCATTTAGTCGCCGCCTCCTTGGTTGTTGAAACCGGAGAACCACCGTTAGGGAGTCGTCAGTCGGGACATCGTCATTCATGCCGTCGCTGCTGTTGCTCACGATTCGCTGTATGTCGGAGACCATGAGAAGAGTGTTGAGCCAGTGTTGTGGTCGTGGGAGGGGCCGATCGGAGCTGCTGCTGTTGGGTTTCGTTGTGGCCGTCCGCCGCCGCCGTTAGTCATGGTTGTGGCCACCAGGGCTGCTGCTGCCATCATCACGTGCCACCAGGTGGGTGGCTGGGCTTATCTCGCAAACAAAAAAGTGTGTGTCATGTGTGTGTCGTGTATGTAGTTGTCTTGGCTGGAGTCACAAGAGGGCCACCACCACCATCGTGAGGTGGTGGCTGCCACTCTCTACCACCGTCTGCCGCC